TCTTTTCACTGCTTATTGGCTATTTGTATGTCTTCTTTGGAGAAATGTTTATTCAAGTCCTTTGCATATTTTTAAATGGAGTTATTTTCCTTTTTATTGTTGAGTTGTAAGAGTTTATGAGATTTTGCATTTGAGAATACCAATGCCCAATCAAAATTGGGCCTAGATTATAAAAGCAAGATCAAAGAATCCTGGGTGAGAAATGGCACCTGGCTCCAAGTTCTCGACCTGTCAGTGGCCATGTGGGCAACCTTGATTAGTTGCCTTCTTTGCAATTCAATGTTTTCATCTTAAATTCTGTGGCTGTGGTGGCAGTTGAGGTACATTGTTGTTCCCTAGGTGAGATGCCTGTCCTTTACTCTTCATAGAATTTGGAGACAGAAAGGTCTCAGGAGTAACTCAAGGTTGCACCTGCCTGTCAGGTACCTCAAGAGTCCAGTCACCTTTACTGAGGGCTTCTGAGATGCATTGACTTCTCCAGGCCCTCCTATTGGTGCTGTGTTTACATGACTCTTCCCTATTCCCGTCTCCTAGGCTCAAAATGTTCCTGTTTTTTGTTGCAGATACCAGAAAAGTCCACACTGCCCCTGCACGAACCTTGTTCCTGCTGCGCCCCCTGCCCATTCTATTGGTGACAGGTGGCGGGTACACAGGGTACCGGCAGTATGAGAAGTACAAAGAGCGAGAGCTGGAGAAGTTGGGACTGGAGATTCCACCCAAACTCGCTGGTCACTGGGAGGTAGGAATAAGGTGCAGCTGCCTTGGGTTCTCACCCAGCACAGCTGTCTGTCGCTTTTCAAGTTGCCTCAAAGTTGAAATGTTTGAACAAGTCAGATATGCTTTCTTGGAGCTCATGTCTCCAGTGGGTTTTGGCCAGATATAGGAGTAATACCTTTGGGGGTCACATCAAGCTTCTCTTCTGTCCCAAAATCTACCCTGATCTCCCCAAAGGCTCTGAGAAGAAATTTCCTGCTGTTGAAATCTGAGAGTTCATGCCCTGTATTGTGCTGACATCCTGGCTGTTCTGCTGTTCCTGCCCCTCTCAGTCTGTGAAGGGCTGAAACTGTTGGATTTTTGTGATGTGGATTAGTTCTCACCAGGAACCAGATTGAAATAATCAAATTTCTTTATTGTTATTGCTCTAAATGCTCCCCACACCCCAATCATACTCACACAATGGGGATAGCCTGCATTGTTGTGGAACCATGCATGAAAATAATGAAACGCCTTGTTCATTTGTGCTTCCTGGGGTCCAGGACAAAGCCTGACTCAGAGGAGATATTCAGTAAATATTGAAATTGAATATAAAGGCATATGTTTAAAAGTTGCCTTCTGTTCAGCTATAATTCATTTGTTCAGCTATTGAACAAATGAAAAATCTGAAATGTCAGAAATAGCCTGGGCAAAAGAGGGGGTGGAAGTTGAGGCTTTATGATACTTGCAATGGAATGGTGCATTTGGATCTGCTCGTGATCCATTTTGTTAATCCAGCTCAGTTGAATCCAGTCTAGTAGGACACATGGTGACCAGGGTATCGGGGTCTTTAGTTACTGTGTGAACTTGGACATGTCACTTTCTGTCTGGTCGTTTGTGTCTTTAACTGTAAAACAGCAGGTTGGATTGGAACACAACTGAGATCCCTTCCAACTCTAACATCATTTTATCTAGGAATCTTTGCTGCCGCTGGCATTACATGCTGCATTGTAGGCTCCCTTCCAAAATCCTTTTTCGACTTTTGTTTTTGATCATTTTCCTCCAGTAAAATCCAATATAAGGATTTCACTTGATTTCTGACAGTCCTGTAAAACAGTGTCTTAGTCAACCGGCCGTACAGATCCAGATGTTACCCCAAAAGATACCTGTCTGCCGTCCGTCCCCTGTGCCCATGTGCCTACCCTTTGGCCTGTTCATATGCCTTGGACTTTATAATAACCTACCTCAGACCAAAAAAAAAGTTTTCTGGTAGTATATAACAAAACTCTTTTGGTGAAGGGAGTTGTGTTAGTATGTGAGTCACACTTTCAAAGTATGCTACATTCTGTTTTCCATGGCATTGGTGGTTTCCCCTGTAAACATATCTTTCTCCATTAGATTAGTGAAGTACGCATAAGTGAAGCACGAGACTGTGATTGTTTGACCCCGCTCAAGTGTCAGGCCCAAGCTGGCTTCTTCCTGATCCTAGGCATTTGTCAGGCTGACTCACCCTGTGACGAGCGTGCATGCCTTCAGGAAATTCCCACCCATTTCAAAGGTATCCCAAGAGAATGTAAATTTGGAAGAAATCTGCCACTTCCAAAATAGTAAAAGACCAGTGCCAGTAGTTTTTTAGCATCTACTATTTGTATAGTTGGGATTACTGCCATACATAAGTTTCATACCTGAAAGATGATTGTAGAGAGGGTGGGTTGATGAGCTCTTAAGTTCTAGGGCCTGGACAGTAACAGGACTCTGGAGTGGGGTGGCCCAGTGCCGTGTGACATCTCAGAGCACCTATTGGCAGAGAACTTATTAGATACTGTTCTTTTGTTTGAGTAAAATGGCCACAGGACCACACTTGGATTTTCAAGTAGGACTCTAACATTTCATTTTATGAAGGGGAAATGGTCTGGACTCAGAGTTAACATTATAGGTGGAGTATCTCCTATCCAAAATGCTTCTGATCCCACGCATTTTGGATTTCGAATTTTTTGGATTTTGAAATATTTGCATGTACATGTTGGGATACCTTGGGAAGGGACCCAAGTCTAAACACAAAATTCATTTAGTCTTATGAACACCTAATACACATAGTCTGAAGGCAACCTTACACATATTTTTAATAATTTTGTGCATGAAGCAAAGTTTTGACGTGTTTTGACTGCAACCCATTATGTGAGGTCAGGTGTAGAATTTTCCACTTGTGGCATTATGTCGGTGCTCAAAAAGTTTTGGATTTTGGAGCATTTTAGGTTCGAGATGTTCAGATTAGGGATGCTCAACCTGTGTAAGAGCTCAGGAGAGGCAGCAGGTGAGCTGTGATCCTGAACTGGCAGTCAGGGGCTGGGTCCCAGTCCCACCTCTGGCCCTATCTAATTGTTGTCATTGCAAATGAAAAATGACAGATTTTCCAAATCTAGCTGATCATCAGAATTGTTGGGGAGCTTTAAAAATGATGAATTCTTTTGTTTCACTCCTGGAAATTTAGAAAATGTGGGAAGGCTCAAGACCTGTGGTTTTCGGAAACCCTCTAGTCATTCTGATGACAGGCCAGATTTAGGAACCACGGGCAGCTGTAAGGTTCCCTTCAGGGCTCCAGTGTTAAGTGGCAAATGAAATTTGTGGTGATGATTTTGCTGAAATATAATCCCTTAATATCCCTGAGAACAAGTCTGGCATCTCAAGAGCTGAGAGAGAAGATAGGCTGATAGTTAATGTTGAAATGAGCCCCTGGGATCAGTGGCACAGTTGAGGCAATAGGATGATACTGTTTTACCAAAAATCGTGTCTTCTGGTTTTCCAGGAGATAGACATGAGACAGGGTGCACACATAAAACATTCCTGTTAGCTCCTGTCGATTGCCAGCAGGGAGCCTTCGTTCCCCTTTACCACGTTGTAAATTTCTCTCGTGCCAGGAAAGCGTTTGGTTATCCCTCTGTATGGGAAATCTTAACAGCGTGGTTGTAATGCCTTATGTTTGAACAGCACCTAACAGCTTTTCTAAACTTTTCCAATTAATTATTTTGTTAAGATTTTATAGCAGCTCACTGAAGTGGGCAGTGCAGATGTTATAGATATTTTTTAAAATTTTAATTTAAATTTTTTTTAGAGACAGGGTCTTGCTCTGTCACCCAGACTGAAATGCAGTGGCATGATCATAACTCACTGTAGCCTTGAACTCCTGGGCTCAAGTGATCCTCCTGTCTCAGCCTCCCAAAGTAGCTGGGATTACAGGTGTGAGCTATCACACCCAACCTAAATTTAATTTAATTTTTTAAGAGATGGAGTCTCTCACTATGTTGCCTGGGCAGGACTGCAGTGGCTATTCACAGGTTCAATCACAGCTCACTGCAGCCTTGAACTCCTGGACTCAAGCAATCTTTCCTCCTCAACCTCCTGAATGGCTGGGATGAAATGTGTGTGCCATCATGCCTGGCAAGGTTGGAGCCATTTTATAAATGGAAAAAACTAATTGGTAGCAGAGTGGGTTCCAGAACCAAGATCTGGTGACACCAAATCCCATACTCTTTCAACAGTACCATGTTGCTACCGAAAGATGTTAGTGAAGAGGTTCGACAGCGTTAACCAGAAATGGAGGCAGGCTGCCCACTCACCGGGGCGTGCTGTGTAATTGAAATACCTCCTTTCTATGAGGACTATGGTTGTTTAAAATGTGAGGTGAATTTGAGCGTACTGGCTTGAAGAGTTGTCTGTGATAACGCAGATGAACATTTACGTGAGGCCCCCTCCTCCAGCACTGTGTTACTGAAGAATTTATACTCGTATCTTTTCTTTATTTAAATAGGATTTCTTGGTGGTGTTTTTTTTTTTTTTTTGGTAACAGTGTGAAATAACCCATAACTCCAAAATCCATGCCACCTCACTCACTACAAGCTGTGCAGAGAGGGCGGCGGGGAGGAGGGAGCACTGGACATGCATAAGGGGACTTGGGCTCTGGGCAGCTGCGTGACCTTGGGTGCATTGTTTCACCTTTCTGGGTTATATTTTCACACATGTAGGAACTCTTGCTAAGATATTTGCCTGCTCTATAATTCGTGCTCTTTTTACGGTAGGAAAAAAAAAGTCCATGCAGTCAACTGAATAGAAATGAAACCTATGTCTTTACTGTTAGGGGATTAACAGAATTTTTCTTTGGCAACAAAGTAACCTGTAGCAGAGCTTTAGTTCCCTCGTTTTTTGAGGAGGGTATTCTGAAGGCCCTGGCAGCTTTCAGAAGCATCCAGTTTCCAGCATCTCCACGTTCTCTTCTCTGTATAGGGTATCACTTCTCTCAAGGTGAGAATAGCTTGGTCCTTTTCTAATTTTCAGAAAGTGTTGCAAAATATGAAGACAAAAACAATGACCCATAACTGTACAACCCACAGGAAATAACAGTTAACATTTTGGTGAATGTAGCCCTTGCAGGTTTTGGTTATGTTTAGGAATATTAATTTAATTTTAATTTTTAATGAAATAATGGCTTTTAAAAGTTTACGTAAAAATTAGTCATGTTAAAATTCAAATAGTCAAGAAGGGCTTGTATAAAAATAAGTCTTTGACCCTCTGTCCCAGCTACTAATCCCATTCCCACTCCAGAAACAAGCATTTTTAGTATTTCTTATATATCTTTACAGAAAATCTCTCTCCATACTTAACATGTTTTTTGGTTGTTCAAAGTTGATTTGATTTTTTTTTTTTTTTTTTTTT